ATTTTTTTATAGTTTATTGCATTTTGGGTTCATTTGATAGAAGGGGAAACATTTTATAGAAATAGAGATGTTTATTGGTTTTAGCATTGGAAATGGCTTGAAACTGAGCTCAAAGTAGCGGAAATGTTAAATTTTTGCCGATATTCAAGAGTAAACAAACGACCTCACACGTCTAATACACGTCAGCTGGTGGGTCTAATATACATTCACAAATATGGTGTGATATTTATACAATTATTACAGTATTGCATAACAGTAAATCTTCTATTTTTGGTTGAATAAAAATTCATTATGTGAAAAAAAATCAAAATGGAATTTATTTGTAAAGCCTCAAAACATAACTAATGAACAGAGGAATGTTAGTTTAGTGCCAAGGAATGCCTACATTGTTCATTCTGGACCCTATTTTGAAATTGGAATATTTGAACTTTGTGTTAAATTGGCCAAAATTAACAATTTCCGATCACTTTATTTTGTAGTTGAACAGTTGACTTGGCGATTTCTTGTGCTCAATCGATAGAATAGAAGTAATACTAGTGAAATAGCTAAGAATTTGGTTGATTGGAATAATGTAATTGCCTAAAATGGGAGTCAAAGTCGGCAAAATCGCCGATTCGTAAATATCGCTGACACATCAAAATTCGCGAGAGCATAATTTCGTCAATTTTCCACCAAATTTCGTACTTTTTGTTTTATTACCTTCACAAAAAGATTCTCTACGATTTCATAAGAAAAATAACAAATTTTTTTTTTAAATTCTTGGACACTGGTGCGTGACTCCAGATTTGGGCCTTGGACCCTGAAAGGGTTAATATGCCCAAAATGCTCTGCATAACAAAGGGATTTCTATATACATAGTAGTATGTCAGTGATGTTAGCTATGGTCTGTATGTCTTGTACATGTATTTGTAGAAATAAAGATTATTAATTATTATTATTATTATTATTCATTCAACAGGTGTCTATGTATAGTCCATAACACTGTAGGACACACTGGTAATCATTCATTCAACAGCTGTCTTGCAAGTGTACAGACACCACAGTTTAAATGAACCCCTGAACTGCACATCCCCACTTACTGTCCTGGTTAAATATCCCAACCTGGTCTTAATCACTACTGTCCCACTCACTGGTTCACTGGAGCACACTACTGTCCCACTCACTGGTTCACTGGACACACTACTGTCCCACTCATGGTTCACTGGAGCATCACTACTGTCCATCCTGGTTCACTGGAACACACTGCAAGAAACACAAACTGCTAATAAACCTCAGTTTATCAGTGTTTCACTAACACAATACTAGACATGAACAAGTATTACAAGGATCCTAACTGAATAAGTAATTTTGACTTTCTGGGTTATCCTGGGTGATTTACACACCTATTACCTTCTCAATGTTGTGGAAGAAAGTCATATATGTACAGAATGCTTTACCTACAGTTCATCAGCAGTACTTCTCCAATAACAAGGTACCATACTACACTCATCAATATTAACACTCATCGTCATAAAGAAAGCCGTAATTGTTTTACATGATGGAGGATTGCTGTGTCCTTTTTCTGTCTCATGAACATGCAAGATTCAGGTAAGTCTTGCTACTTCTTACTTACACTAGGTCACACACACATACATGTACAAGCACATATATACACACCCCTCTGGGTTTTCTTCTATTTTCTTTCTAGTTCTTATTCTGTTTATTTCCTCTTATCTCCATGGGGAAGTGGAACAGAATTCTTCCTCCGTAAGCCATGCGTGTTGTAAGAGGCAACTACAATGCCGGGAGCAAGGGCTAGTAACCTCTTCTCCTGTATATTTACTAAATGTAAAAGGAGAAACTTTCGTTTTTCCTTTTGGGCCACCCCGCCTCGGTGGGATACGGCCGGTGTGTTGAAAGAAAGAAAGACCTGTCAATAATAAAGTATATGCACAATAAAACTTCCAACCAGGTTCATAATAACAATTACTGTAAATACACAATATATACACCACACAAGTACCTTCTGGTAATTATAAAAATCACATCTTAGGCAAACTGGTCTCAGTGCAGTGGAACAATGTAAATTAGCATTAATAGCCATCTTACTTGAGCTTAATGTGTGTAGGACCATCATGTTTTACAATGGCTTTTAGATGATCCCATGATTCTTTACAGTCGACCTCTATCTTGGCAATGTTATTAGACAGCTCCTCGAAGTCCACCTTCGAGACACGGGTGATCGAGTCAATCTACAGGAAAAAATGCAAGTGGTTAATTTGCACTTGATGTATAAGACAGTGGTTCAGTGGTTCCCAACCTTCTCTGCATCATGACCCACCTTGACACTTCAAAAAATCTCATGTCCCCCTGATATAAAAATAAATTTCAATGTTGAATCCGACACTTCTTTATCTAAAACTCTATTTGTACCTCAGCTATAGCTAGTAAGACTCATTTAATGTTAAACACTTCAGAATCAGGAAAATTGGTTCCTTGACTGAACCATGTAGTGATGGCTGGCAGCCATGCATTATTATGCCCATATAAGGAAGTGTGGACAACACCAAGACTTGCAAGATCAATCTGAGTGAGTGGATAAACTGTGACGGAACATTATTGACTATCACACAGCACTGAAATGTAAACTCGTGGTCAGACCGTGTAATCTCGTGCTCAGTCAACAAGGAGAACTGAAGCAAATATACAGTGTTTTAAATGCCAATAAAAGGCAACTAAAATGTCAGGAGCAAGAGGCTAGTGATCCTTTCTCCTGTATATATTACTAAATGTAAAAAGAAGAAAAACTTTTGTTTTTCTCTTTGGGTCACCCTGCATCAATGGGATGCAGCTGGTTTGTTGAAAGAAGAAGAATACAACTACTACTACTACTAATAATAATAACAACAACAATTGCTCTAGAGTAGTTTAAATGTTAGCTACTAAACTTGTACAAAATACGTATGACATTTATACAGCAAAGTGATGTCTCAGCGTCAAGTAACTCAGACTTCGTCCTACAGACACCCAGCTTTCACTGTCTCCAAGAATACGTATTTGTACAAATTTGCACTTTATTGTGCATCCCATAGTACAAGATGTCAGTGAAAAGGAAGATCTTGACTTCACCTGAAGGAAGTGCTAAGAACCAAAGGGAGGCTCTTGATCTTGAGGTGAAAATGAAGGTTATAAATGAGTATGAAGCTGGTAAGAAAGTACAAGTGATAGCCGATGAATTAAAGGTGGCGAATTCTACCATTTCCACTATCTTGAAGGATAAAGATAGAGTGAAAGAGGCAGTGAAAGCATCGACAGGATTTCAAGCCATAATAACTAGGCAGCAGAAAGGCCTCATTCAAGAACTGGAGAAATTACTGGTGATGTGGTTTGACTACCAGATACAAAAAAGAATGCCGATGAGCCTTTCAATTATTCAAGCCAAGGCACACAGTATCTTTGAGACTTTGAAGGCAGGTGAAGGTGAGGAATCAACAGAAACATTTACGGCAAGTTATGGATGAATAAAAAGTTTGATTAAATAATGTAGAAGCATGAAAAAGCTACCCAAATTAATAAAAACTGACATATATGGAGAGGCACTGGAGGATGTGTGGGGCTGGGGTATACAAGAGAGTGGAGAAGGCACCAGCAGTTCAGTAATTCATGCTTCACCATGATGTACAGACATGTAAGCTCAAGGCACTTACAATATTGTATAATATACTATTACTATCAATAAAGGTTATCTACCTATCACATCCATTCCAGACTAATATTAGGTATAACACAAATAAAGTAGAAGCAGGATAAAGATGCCCAAATTAATAAAAACTGATATTATATAGAGAGGTATTGAAGAGTGGAGGGCAGAGAGGGATAAAAACCAAAAAAAAAAGTGACCGTGACCATAATAATAAACAGATTGAAAGGAATTTTCCAACAAACATAAAACCGAATGTTTTAATTTTTGGGTGATGACACTTTTGAAGTGTCGGTACGGGTAATTTATTTATTTATTTATTTATTTATTAATTTGAACATGATACAGTGAAGTACAAAGTTATTACAGTGCAACATGCCAAAGCCCCTTGTATGCAGAGCATTATGAGCAGGCTTAAAATTAACTTAAGATTAACTAAGCAATGATATATTCAGTGGTAAATACATTATTGTAAACAGATAACAATTTAGCGCAAATGAGTATTACAAAGACAGGTCATATGGTCATTTACTGTGTTGCTGAGCATTCTGTAGATTGGAGTACAGTGGACCCCTGGTTAACGATATTTTTTCATTCCAGAAGTATGTTCAGGTGCCAGTACTGACCGAATTTGTTCCCATAAGAAATATTGTGAAGTAAATTAGTCCATTTCAGACCTCCAAACATACATGTACAAACGCACTTACATAAATACACTTACATAATTGGTCGCATTGGAAGGTGATCGTTAAGCGGGGGTCCACTGTATTCTGTTAGGTAATGTAATTAAAAAATAAAGTTTGATTGGGTCACAGGTTAGACATTTATGAGATACAATAATGAGAAACATTTACGAGATACAATTTATGAGATACAATTATTCAGCATTTATTTAGTTGTGGGTAAGTGATTTTTGAGAAGAGACTTGAATTTATAAACAGACAGTGTTTCTTTTATATTCACAGGTAATGAATTCCAGATTTTAGGTCATTCCTTGATTAGCGATGAAATTGTTTACCGACAGGGTTTTAGGCCCCTATCTCCATTGTTAAGTGAAGAGAGGCTGTATTTACCTTGCACCCTATATTAAGACTACAAATATTTTAAGGTAGGTAATGAGTGTACACTATATGCATTTTATCACTCTAGGGCTCTTTAAATGTCGAAGTATATTATGTGTGGGTGCGGTGGGGGTGGCCTGGCTGGCTACCATACCTAACTTCTTACAATAAACACTACTCACTTCTCACCCTACATTAAGACTACAAACATTTTGAGGTAAGTAATGAGTGTACTGTGTGTGTATTTTACTTTTATTGTTTTTTAATGCCTTGTTCTATTGCTAACTTAATATATGTTAGTGTAAACTTCTTCTTTCAACAAACAGGCTGCATCCCACCAAATCAGGGTGGCCCAAAAAGAAAAACGAAAGCTTCTCTTTTTCAACTTTAGTAATGTATACAGGAGAAGGGGTTACTAGCCCCATACTCCAGGCATTTTAGTGGCCTCTTGCGACATGCATGGCTTACAGAGGAAGAATTCTGTTCCACTTCCCCATGGAGAAGTGTAAACTTATCTGACATAATTGGAAACAAATGACGTTCTGCTTTCCTGCGATGTCCACTTTCTGACAGTAGCCTGAAACCTAACCTGCTGTATAAGTGGAGCCCTACTGTACAGGTTTCTGTTTTACACTCACTTGGCAGGATGGTAGTACCTCCCTGGGTGGCTGCTGTCTACAAACCTACTACCTAAAATAATGTATTTATATGCAGTTAAAACATTGTTGGGCACAAAAGAAAGCCACTAATGCAATTCAGGCAAGTAAATTTTTCTATAATTTCTTATATTAACAATAGTGAAGATTGACTTTTTGTATTCTACCACTCTTCACCTTCTAGACTTAAGTAGTCTATAAGATTAGGTTAAGTTGCCTGAAATCCCTGGGCATGATAGTGGTTTTCCTTTGCTCCATTCATACTAATGTAAACACACATTGTAACCTTAACAAAAAAATAAATATTTTATTTTATTTTATTTCTATGGTGTGAAGAAGCATTTCCATTCATTATTATTATATTCATGGGAAGTGCTAAACCCACACGGTTCATTCAATGGAACATGGCAGAGGTGAACAAGATTTCAGAACTGAAGAGGTGGAGGTGTTAAGGGGAGGGACATGAACAGAATGGGAAGGGGAATAAGGGAAAATGCAGTTAAAAAATTCTGCAATAAAGGTGGAAGTCTCAGAGAGCAACACAGGCAGAGCAACCATGTCAGTCATCAGCTACATGTCAAAGCAAATTCTGGTGAAATGAAGAAAAATTACCCTGTTTGTTATTACCTTCTCCATGTTCTCATAGTCTAGCTTAAAGATCCAGAGTTGTAATGTAGTTCAATGTAGATAAATGCAAGGTTCTGAAGCTTGGGAGTGCCCATAACCCTAGTACTTATAAGTTAAATGATGTAGAACTTAGCCATACAGATTGCGAAAAGGACTTGGGGGTTATGGTGAGCAGCAACCTTAAACCAAGACAGCAATGCCTAAGCGTACGTAATAAGGCAAATAGATTACTGGGATTTATATCAAGAAGTGTAAGCAACATTAGTCCAGAGGTCATACTGCAGCTTTATACATCATTAGTAAGGCCTCACCTAGATTATGCAAACTCAGTTCTGGGCTCCGTATTACAAAATGGACATAAATTCGTTAGAAAACATTGAGCTAGGATGACTAAATTAATACATAGCATTAGAAATCTTCCTTATGAAGAAAGATTTAAGACTCTTAAGTTACATTACTTGTTAGACGAAGAATGAGGGAGAACCTGATCGAAGTGTATAAGTGGAAGATAGGTATTAATAAAGGGGATATTAATAAGGTCTTGAGGATGTCTCTCCAAGAGAGAACCCGCAGTAATGGATTTAAATTAGATAAGTTTAGATTTAGAAAGGACATAGGAAAGTATTGGTTTGGAAATAGGGTAGTTGATGAGTGGAACAGTCTACCTAGTTGGGTTATTGAGGCTGGGACTTTGGGTAGTTTCAAATCTAGGTTGGATAAGTACATGAGTGGGAGGGGTTGGATTTGAGTGGGACTTTCACATCAGAGCTTATTTCTCGGGTGGCATTGAAAATTGGGTTGGGCAAATGTTTTGTTAGTGGGATGAATTGTAAAGGACCTGCCTAGTATGGGCCAGAAGGCCTCCTGCAGTGTTCCTCCTTTCTTATGTTCTTATGTAATCTGGCAGGAAGTTCAGATATGGACGACAGCATCATAAAAAACTGTTCTGCCGACCCAAGAGGAAGGTATGGGTTGCAAATGGTGGCTTCTTGAATCTTGTGCTTCTCTTCAGGTGTTGGTAACATTGTAGTCAATAATTTCTGCAAGTGCATAATGAGAAAAAAAGAAATCCAACTGTTTTTTTTAATTAAAATGCCGACTTTGTGGTCTATTTTTGTATAGTATTTATGGTTGTATTATCGTTTTCTTGGTCTCATTTGATAGAATGGAAAACATATTATAGAAATAGAGGTGATTTTGATTGATTTATCTCTAAAAAGAACCTGGAAATGGAACTCAAAGTAGGGGAAATGTTTGAGTTTTGCCGAAGTTCAAAAGTAAACAAATGATGTCATTATCCAATAAATGTCCAACTAGCCATTCTAATATGCAGTCATGAATGGGTTGATGTTATTTATACAATTATTACAGTATTGCAGTAGTCTGCATAACAGTAAATCTTCTATTTTTTGTTTGAATAAAAATTCAAAATAGAAAGCAAGAGTAATATCAGAGGTGCTTGGAGACAATGACTGATGAACAAAGAAATGTTATTTTAGAGCCACGAATTCTTGCATTGTTCATTTGGGTTGGATTTTGAATTGTCATATTTTTTAATTTTCGTGAAATTGGCCAAATTGCAAATTTCTGACCATGTTATTGGGTGTTGAAATCGGTAAATGGCAGTTTATTGTACTCAATCGATAGAAAAAATGGAGTTCTGAAATGTAATTTTAT